GTGCCACGCTAGTAGTAACAGGTGCCACGCTAGTAGTAACAAGTGCCTTACTAGTAGTAACAAGTTTGAGAGGTCGAGGCCATGCAGCAAGAGCGCTGGCAGCAAGAAAGGTCAAGCGAGATAGGAGTGAGCTATACACATGGGCAGCGCAGGCAACAGAAGGCAAAAAATAGCTTGGTTTGAAGCTTTGCCGGTTCAGCAACGAGAAAACCAATGTCAGGACTCAGCACACAAACAATGTCGGGCCTTTGCTCTGTCCCACTTTTCCTTCTCAGCATAGAGCACGCCCAGGTTGAAGTATATGTCTGCATTCCTTCTTCGATGCACAAAGAATTGATTGGTCATGTTGAGGTTGCTTGAAATATACACTACAATGCACTTGCAAAGCATAAAGTGTGACCTGATCACTCGAGCCCATGTTTGGTCTGCAGCCTGGAGTTGAAGGTAAGCGCTCGCTTCAAGGCTTCGCCGGCCTGCTTCAGCTCCTATCAGTAGCGGTAGAAATCAAACAGGGGAGTAGTAAAGAAGCACATGTTCTTCTTCAGAACCAAATGGTCCTTTCGCTGCAAGTGGCGACAACCCAACTGAAGCAAGGAGATCGCCATGTTCTCCCGGGTCTTACTGCAATTCTGATTCACCTTCGGCCAAAGAATGATATAAATGTAAATGTAAGCCAAAAATGAGAGGCACTTTAAACGGGGCAGTGTATGAAGGGAGGGCATAGGCTCAAGAATTTTGGCTCTTTGTCAAGTGCACGTTCGTGCCTTGAGAGCCATACCATATGCTTCTATTGCATGCTCCCACTCTCCAAGCTCCCTGCAGAAAAGGGTACAAAACAAAAAGGATCTTTGGAATATATTGCAAGGATCTCTGCTGAATGATTTCGGTGCCTGCAAGCTACGCCCAGGTTGTTCAGAGCCTCCACATACCTCATTGCGCTGCGTCTTCTTGGAGGCCAAAGAAGGTTACTGAATCTCTCAGGGCACCCAGGGTGAAGCTGCACAGCTTTTCTGTACATCTCTTTGGCCTTGATGCAGTCACTCACCTGTGCAAGAGAGAGAGAGAGAGAGAGTTGTGAGTTTCTTTTATCCTGATTCTTCAACACTTGCCGCACCTCGGAATAGCAGACACCAAGCTGGAAGAATGCAGGGGCATAGGAATCGCAGGCCTGCAAAATGGTTTTCAGTGACCAGAGCCCAAGGTGTAAGAACATGGAAAAACTGCTAGAGATCACCGTGCCTGGATGGCTTCGTGGAACAGCTGAAGATCACCACGTCCTGATGCCTGAAAGATACAGCGCCTTTGGAGCATGGAAACATCATTGGACCATTAGACGCCTACTGTGAAGTATGACTTTCTCTGTGGTCCTTCAACTGGATGGCGTGTTCCGTGAGGCATCGAGCCAACTCCATTCGGAGCTCCTCATTGACGCTCAAATTTCAGAGCGTTATGAGCTTGAGACTTCTAGGGCTCAAAACACATTATATAATTGGGGCAATGACAGGCGAAGACTCCAAGCTGAGAGCCTCACAGTCTTCTATACAAACTGAAAACAGCCACGCACGGTCACTTCCCAAGCTTCCACACCTCCCGCAATGAAACCACAGCATCATGCCATCTTTGCTGCTTTGCAAGCAGCAAAGCCTGAGCACACACAGACCAAAAGAAACAGTCATTTGCCAAACTATTTCCAGCGGACTATGCGCAAAACGCGCGGAAATCTGCAAAGCGCTACTTGGCCTTGTTTCGCTGTGCTGACACACATTGCGAATCAAGCCGAAGGGCGGCCTATGGAAATCGCAGCACTCATGCTTGGATTTGAGAAATGCTGTTCTTCTACTTAAAGACTGAATAAGAATCCGTTTGAAGCCTCAAATGAAGCCAATGCATCCTCAAGCTTGTCCAGCTGCATCAAGCACTGGCCTCTCCTGTGTGTCCAAAGAGAAACAGTTGGAAATGGTTCCCCTTTACAAATAGGCGGGGCTACCCAAGGTGCAACTCAGGTCGATTTGGTTCTAAATGAAGTGCCTCGTACACATACAGCACATATATAACTTTGGATATTATGTTTGGAAGCCACGCCACAAATATCGATCTGGGGCATCTACCTGATCCACAAGAGGTAAGGCATCAGCATACCTGCTTTGGTGCACACTTGAATGCAAATTGCTGGAGGCAAACAGCAACGAAACCATAAAACACAAAAGCTTACCCATAAGGCGGATTGCAACTTAACAGCATGGCGCACCGAGCACGTGATGCAAAGAAGTCTGCTCTTCGTGTGAGCTGCTGCACCTGGCCAGTTTGACTCCATCCTTCAGTCATGAATTCAAGTAGTTAAAAAAGGTGTCCTTCCAGGAAGAATGTTTTGTAGAGCAAAAGAATCAATGAACTTAATTGGATCAAAAATGCCAGTGCTTCCTTGCCCTCAGATTCCATGCGAGGGCTTTTCGGTCCTTTGGAGCTGTCCCCGCACCTTCAACCAATGTGCATGTCTGAGCATCATAATTTACTTGTTTGGCCCTGCCTCCTTAATTAAGTAGGCGCATGTTTTAACAAGTGAGGGCAGTGAGGGCGACTAGATAGCTTCTAATAACTGGACGTGGGATAGCTCACGCACTAATGATTTTGTACCTAGATGTTTAGAGAAATCAAGGCAGTCACAATCTGAATATATGTTGAATAATCTTCAAAACCAAGGCAAAGGACCCCTTGGAATCCGCGTTCTTGGCATCTTCCTGCAAAGCTTCCCAGGCAGCAAATGCATTTAAGGGAAGGAGATCTTGCGCCTCTGCTCCATTTTGGTGCTTCATGAGCAGGTCATCAAAGCTCTGCTTAAAAACTTGAAAACATCTGTGCTTTGTCGTGCGAATCGACTGCTGATGGGCATCTGTTCTAAATCAAATGCATTGCTGGCACACGTCTTTAAGTGGTCCAATCTTTTATGATCTTTGCGGGAAGAAGTTCCTTGTCTATGCTTGTGGATGCGTCTGATTCCATTTGCACCCAAAGCTGACAGGTATGAAAACAAAGACAGCCCTAGGTTGCACGCAGGAAAAATGGAAGCGCAATCATAAACTGCGAATGCCAAGCCTTTGCTAGAACTCGAAAGAACTGATGAATTGGTGTTGAAAAGGCAATGTCTATACAATTCCCAGGAAAAAGAGCCAAGCAGCCAAAGCAAGTACATTGAACAAGCCTCAACAGCAACTTCGAACCCAACCCTGCACAACTTGGACAAGTAGCGTGGGGGTTTTGTTTTGTCTGATTCCTTCGTGCATTGTCAACGTGCTTCAAAGTGCTTAGAATGTGTGTATACAGGTAGTCTCTCAAAGATTGTCGGAGCTCTGCAAAACAGAATACATCCCTTTTTACGATGTGCGGTCAGTCTGTTCTGTCGTATTCCGCAGCAGTCTCCAACACCATGCACACTCCGTCAAGGATGACTGGGATGACTGAAATTTGTAGAAAGGTTTGGCGTGTCTTTAGTGTCCATCTCCTCCCAACAAAGCCTGAGTGTTCCTGGTTGAGACATATAGTGACAATGATCGCATCAACAGAGGCACTCAGAAGCGCATGTTCAGGCGCTGCTCCATGATATCGTGAAGACCCCTGTCGTGGAGACAATGAATCAATGGTTGCTGGGTTTTGGTTTCCGGTTGACACACCAACATTCTTACTGGCCCGGCTGGAGCCTGTTCGGACCCGTGATGCGTGACATTGCTGAATTGGCCTCGAGTATTTTGACTTGCGGTCAAAACTGAGATGGCTCATGGTGAATCAATGAAAGCATCCAGTCATACAAGTAGCTCTGCCTCTAGATTCATGATGTCTTCGAACTCGATAGTGTCATCCATGTCTAAGACCGTCTCCAAGCCCACCTGACCATGAAGAAGGTGCAGAGCGAAGAGATACTAACAGTGCATTCTTGGCTACTTGAAGAATGCCAAAGAAGAAATTCAAGTAGACTGAAATATTAAATACGAATCGGGCAAAAATCTTTACACAATGAGCTCATTATGGATTCAATAAACTGCTGGTGCCAAGCACACTTGCTGAAATGGTAGGCTGTATGAAGTCTGGTAGGCTAATGTAGACTACATTAGTCTCCACATTCTTGCACGTCGAATTGACCCACGGGCGCACCAAGGAAGAAGGCAAACCAGGTAGGCGTTGGAACTGGGATAGCAGCTCTCGCTCCTTCGATGAGCGTTTATATGTACATACTCTAATCCAGTGAAATGATGGTCTTTGTGTAGACATACAAACGCTGGATGAATCGTTGTCCGTTGTCCTATTCCTGGGCGTATCGTGCGTTGAATGATACAGTAAATGATTTCTCTCCCTTTGCTACGTGGCGCACCATCTTTGCTCGAATTGGTGCGTGCTGGCCATATACCTGCACACATCGCACTTTGCAAGCTGTGTTACTCGGGGTGATCATGCAAGAACTTACAATAGCAAAAAGCATGTCTCATCATGTCTCACATCAGACATCCACTTTTCCGCCAAACTGCTCAAATGAACCCTGCAAATCTCTTGTCCAGTCATTGACCTCAGCTGTTGCTTTTAGAGCATCCTGGATTTGCCGCAAATAAGCGTTTGCGAGGTCTTCAATGTCCGAAGCTTCAAGACTTGCACTCCTGTGTAGCTCTGACTGCAAGTTCCCTGGTAGTTTCTCTCCTCAGCTTGACATAGCTGAAATCCGATTTGTCTTCCGGCAGTTTGTAATAGTTTGTAGAATTAGCAGCTTGCATGCAAATCAGTATGTCTTAGATTTATCTCTCACTCAAAGAAAGCCGAGCTTTGACGAAGGCAACACAGTATGCCGTATATATAAATATGTCCAAGCCATTGTTTGACTTGCTCATGGCTCAACATTTGCCAGGGGAAGAGCCGGGAAGTGATAGATGGGGAAGGTTTGTCCACTCCAGACCAGAATCCAATAAGAGTAAAAAATGGGATGTCTGTGCTTCAGCTAGTGCATCTCATATTTTATTTTATAGATCTATAGAATCTATATATGTATATAGTGCACTTGAATCGTTTCTTCATACTCCATGTAGACACAATACGTAGACACAATATAAAAGTAAGTTCACCTCATACGCACATGAACATGCGCGCATGAACATTCTTCTGTGGATGACAACACAGGCTGATAGATGCGCCACTATGATTTGCTGCATGAAAAGCTCGCTTGACGTGTGGCTTTTGCGGGAGGTCTCGTGCGAAACGCT